TTAGCACACCAGAGGGACTGCAGGGAGGGAGGGCAGCTCACTTAGCTCAGGCCACCACCACAAACTATCACAGACTTGGAGGCTTACACGACAGAAATGTGTTTGTCACAGTTCTGGAGGCTGGAACTTTAAACGGAGGCGCTGACAGGTTTTGTTTCTCCTGAGACCTCCCCCCCTGGCTTGCAGAGGCCCATTTCTCATCGTGTCCTCACGTGGGCCTTCCTCTGTGCCCGCACCCCCGCCCTCGCTTCCTCTGCTTATAAGGGCGCCAGTCCTATTGGGCCAGGGCCCCACTCTGGGACCTCCTTTAATTTTAATGATCTCCATAAAAGCTTTATCCCTATGTACAGTGACATTGGGGTCAGGGCTTCAACCTATGAATTTGGGGGGCCCAATGAAGTTCATTAACTGATTATCTATCAGTACTGCTTATGGTTAAGAGAACAGAGCTTCAAAAGTGATGAGTCTTCTTCAGAACCTTCATGGGACATATGGGCGGATGACTAGTTTCATAGCTGCAGCCTTTTGGTTTTTGAGTTTTTATTTTTTAGCCCTGGATTCTTTTGCATTGTGGTAGAATACACTTAACACGAAACTTACCATGTGACATTCACAATGTTATCTAGTTTCAGAACAATTTCTTTCTTTTCAGAACATTGTCAACCCAAAAGAAAATCTGCACCATTAAGCAGTCCCTTTCCCTTCTTTCCTCCTCCAGTCCCAGGTGATTTGCTCATCTACTTCCTGTCACCGTGGATTTGCCTACTCTGCATAGTTCATACAAATGGAATCACACAACGCATACCTTTTGTGTTGGACTTCTTTCACTTGGCGCAGTGTTGTCAGGGTTCATCGATGTTGTAGTACCCATCAGTATCTCCTTCCTTTTTATGGCCAACTAATATTCTACTGTATGAATAAACCACATTGTGTTTATCTGTTCATCGGTTGATGAACACTGAGTTCCGCTTTTTGGCTTTCACAAATAGTGCTGTTATGGACATCTGAGCACAAATCTTTGTATAGACATGCTTTCGACTCTCTGGGGTATATGTACCTGGGACCGGAATTGGAGGGTCATGCAGTAATTCTACATCTAATTTTTAAAGGAACTGTCAAATTGTTTTGCATGCTCTTTACATCATTTTATATTCCCATTAGCTGTATGCAAGGGTTCCAGTTTCTCTCCTCGTTCACCAACACTCACTAATTTCTTCTTCTTGTTATTATTGCCATCCAAGTAGGTGTGAAGTGGTATCTCACTGTGATTTTGACTTGCATTTTCCTAATGATTAATGATGTTGAGTATCTTTTCATGTACTTGTTGGTTGTTGTATCTTCTTTGGAAAAATATCTATTCAAGTCCTCTGCCTGGCTTTTAACTGGATGTTTTGTCTTTTTATTGTAAAGTTGCATACATCCTCTGGATACGAGACTCATCAAATACACAATTTGTAAGTATTTACTGTAGACCCTTTGATGTCATGTTGGTTTTGTTTATGCCACTATTTTAGATATTCTTGCATTATTGAAAGAAGTCCCGAATGGATTTTAACTCCATATCTCCAAAAAGAAAATATAACAATAGTAAACATCAAAGTCAACATAAAAATGGTTCAGTAAACTCTGGGGTTAGAAGTGAGGGAGGGGAAGGGAGAGAAGTATGTGTAATGTTTAAAGTTAATGGTAGATGAGAAGAAAGAATTTAAAATATGGAAATTACTTTTCTGAAAGTCGGTATATTAATTACAAAGAAAAAGAGAAGGATGAAAGATGAAACATTTAAAAGCAACAAGGAAGATTTTTTTCCCCAAAATTTTACAACCCTTTTTATTTTCAGATGAGGTTAGGTAATCACAAGACAAAATGGAAAGAAATGTAAATTAACATATTTGTTGGGCTTGAGGTCTTATTTGTTAATACAAATACTTTAACTTAAAAGGACTTCTGGTAAACCAAATGTGAATTTTCAGTACTACTCATATTTACAAAAGAGGAAGAAAAAACTGAATGAGCCCAGTGAAAGTCATTCTTCCCAACCAGGCTGCTGACTGGTGAGCAGATGGTGAGAACCTTCGTCTCTCGCTGAAACTCAGAGAAACACTGTCGATCTTGCAGCGTTCGAGCTGCTAGCCAACATGACATGATTACCTCCATATGATCTGTGTCAACTTCAGTCAGCAGAGTTATAAGTAGTCATTTCTTTACTTACATGACTTTCTACTAGTGCTGTTGAAGACACGGCAGAAGTTTGCTTTTAAGTTGATTGTATTTTGTTCATATATAGGCACTGACTGAAAGGTGATTTACCTGAAAATATACTTCTGCATTTTGTGTCCCTAGAATTCAACTTCTAACATATAAATTTTATAGAGAATTCTTTCATGTGTGTTTAAATATATTTTGGCAGGCTGCCTGACATTTAGTTTTGAGTATAATAAATTATTAGTACTACTCACATGTTATGATTACTAGCTACAATTTCTCAGAAAAGACTAGTAAAATAGTTCATGCTGTCTGTTAAGGTGAGTGAGGGAGTTTCTTTTTATTTCTTAAGGAAGGGACAAGACCATCTTAACATCTGCCCTTAGCACCTCCCACAGAGAAGCTCAGTAAGTATCCGACAAGTTATTTTATAAAATTTCAATACAACATACTAGATACACAAAGAAAAAGTACAATCACGAAGAAAAAGTCAGAAGGAAGGACAGAGTGATATGAAGTGTCTCCAGAACTGAAGCCAATCCCCACCACGTAAAGCAATGATGAAACGGGCCTCTTGGTAACCTTTAAAGAATAAAGGAACATAGCAATTAAAAAGAGATGAATTGGCCCCAAACCCCACACTTCAAGTTTACCAGTTGTGAATTAAATCATGAACTATTTGGGAAGAACCCTTTGTGTATAAACTGTGGCACTACCAGTCACTAAATCAATTCCAACATGAAAAATTCAACATTTCTTTTTTCATAAATAAACTCTGACAAAGTGTGGGTATTTTGGAGAACATGAAAAATAAATAGTGGAAGGAAGGTATGGTATAGGTCTTGCCTGAAGACATGCGCAGTTCTCTTGCATTAATTTTTCTCCAAAAGAAAAAGAAGGTAATGTATTAACCCTCTGAATACCATCCAAATCAATTTACAGTGCCACAGGAAAATAATGCTACCTAACCATCTGGTGATGGGTGTAGAGTTCACAGTTAATCCTTGGCTCCCTGCAGTGGAGGCAGTGGCGACGAACAGCGTGGTGGGCTGGCTTTAGAGTCAGCAAGAACAGGGTGCAGTCCAGGCGCACTACACTTTTTAGCACCGACTAGCCACGTTATGGAAGACAGCAACGACGTCTTCTTCACAGGGTGGTGAGGATTAAATGAGACCCAGTGTGGAAGGCTCAGCTCAGTGCTTGGCAGAGAGCAACCTCCGATGAACATTAGCTACTAGTATCTTCTAAGAAAAAAATCTGAAAAACGGAGTCTTTCCTCAGCTTCTTGCTGTCTAGTTTTAAGTACCATTCCTCTGACTATTTTTCTGGCTCACCTCCCCTGCCACCCCCAGGTTATGCGCTTAAATTGACTTTGCATATCATCAGTCATAGCTGTTTACCATATTTGTATGATATGTGCTCATTCAGGTCTCTGTCATTGTCTCCAATACCTGTTTTACTCCAGACACTTCAAGCTCTGCAGGAAATAGCCACTATGTCCAGCTTTTTGGTGCATTCTCAGTACCCAAGACAGAGCACTTAGCATGTATTTTTTGAATGGTAATAACTATTAATAATCATTTCATATTGAATTTTTTACTTATTAGGTTAAGAAAAAGGAAACCTGTGGTTGGTGCATTTAAAGTAACTAAAATAACCCAAAAGGAAAGTGCATGGTGTGGTTTAGTGAAAAGAATAAGAGGTTTGAGGAGGCGGGTAGGGAGTAGAGTAGTTTCTTCCTCTAGATTTCATTTGATTTGGGGCGTGCGGAAGGATGTCAACCATGCATTTACCAGGCACACACAAGCGTCCAATGGTTGTTGGAACAGCAATGTCTCCACTGTGAATGCAATTGCCGTGTGTTCTATAGTTGCGGACTTGGAAGGGGCCACAGTGGTCAGAATATCCTATGTTCCACTTTAAAGATGACACTGAGAGCAGCAAAAAGCAGTGATTCTTCACCGGTAGAGCTGAGCCCAGACTTCAAGTTAGCGGATTTCCAGACCGCATCCGAAGGGTCACTAGTGCCTTTAAGAATAATCACTGCTGCTTTAATAGCATCAGCACCTGTTGTTTCAGCTTCCGCAAGAGAGAAGCTATTAATTTCTCTTCCATCAAAGCTGAATTTCTGGTCTGTCTGAACCTTGTTTTCTTCCAACTGCAGCTGTCTGCACCACTAAGAGTCGGACAGGCCTTTCTGCCTGAATCCATAAATCGCCACGCCCAAATAAAGAGAAGAAAAAAGTGATACAAATCATGCAGACAGTGGCCGATTTGTGACGTCTTTCTCCAACTCTCTTCATACCACCTTGGAGAATCCTGGGGCCCAACAGAGGAAGCCCTAGGTATGTGAACCCTGACACCAACATCGCAGTTCTATTGCGGTCGGGACATCAGCTTTTGGAAGTGGAGAGAGACAGTTCATCTGAGTGGCAACTTCACTGTCTGTAAAATGTAAAATAATTATAGTCCATCGTGGGGAAGTTTTGGTTATCAAACTGAATATGGAATGCCAGAGATCTTCAGTAAGCAAGTTTAGTTTGCTTTTGTTATCATTATTGTTATTGTGGTAGCAAGGCCTAGGTTGCATAAGTTGTGTTTGCTCTCGCGCCCCCGCTAGCCTGCAGCCCACTGCGGCGTCCACGCGGTTCTCTTCCACTCCAGTCCGAAGGCGAAGGGCTCGGGAGTCCGGAGACGTCCAGGGGTGGGAGGGGAGCCCGCGCGGCACGCATGCGCCCCCGAGCTGCCACCAGCCCCTCATAAGAGCGCAGCGCAGCGGCTCGGCCAGCGGAGTCGGAGCTGGCTCGGTGCCGGGCGTGGCGGGAGTGTGCAGGCAGCTACCGTGCTCTGCTTCTTCAGTATCCCGGAGGACGGAAACTTCTGGGGGAGGCGCCCATCGGTGCGCACCTCCCGAGGGCTCAGCGGCCCAGCGGAAAGAGAGAGAAGCGGACAGGCCCGGCGCTCGTGGGAGCGAGCGGCAGCGAGAGAGGAGGAGGAGGGGGAAGCCGGCTCCAGCGGCTTAAGTGGACCGCGCGCAGCCGCTGCAGCAGCTGCCTCCTTCAGCCGGACGGGCTCCGGGGACTGGGGCCGCGGCGCGTCGGCCCTTCGCCCGCGTCCTGGACGGCTGCGTGAGCTGGGAAGGACTGGCCTCCAGTCCCGCGTCAGGGAGCGTTGAGGCTGCACCCGCTGGGCTGCCGGGGCTACGTGGCCGGAGCCATGGGGACCGAGTTCGGAGCTAAGCAGGCTGAGCGTGGCCGGCTGCTGCACTTGCTGCCGGGAATCCTGTGCGCTCTGCCTGCCTGCTTGGCCCCTTCTCGCCACCCGAGAGAGGAATAAAGGGAGAGATTCTCTGACTGGTGCGCGGGATCCCGAGACTCAAACCTTGTGGCAGCGCCCTGGCTCCGCGTCGGAAGGGGTGTTCTCAGCGGTAATCCGACGGGAGGGATCGTCCCTCGGGGACGCACGGGGAGCGTCCTCTCTCTGGACTCTCGCTGGAGTGTAGACTCCAGGAGATTCGGGGAGGCAGCTCCGCAGGCCCTCTGAGTCTTCACCCGAGTTCCATCAGTGCGGGCACACTCTCAAAGTCTGCCCCTTCCGGACCTGGCCATCCCCTGGCAGAACGGGGGGATGGCTTAGGAGCCTCCTGACCTGGCAGCCCGGCGTCGTGGGCTCCGGAACGTCGTGGCAGAGGGCAGTGGCCTGCGCCGAAAACGCCGTGGAAGAAACACTCAGTAAAGAGGTCCTGGCCAGAGCACCACTGGGACCCGGGTCTCTGAGTGCACGATTTACCCGGAGCCTGCACTGCGCCCTCAGGAGAAGCCCCCCGCGCCCCAGGGTGCCATGTGGGGCGGACGGTGCCCGTCCGCCTCCTCCTGGATCGCCACTTCGCTCCTGCAGCTGCTTCTGGCCGCACTGCTGGCTGCGGGGGCGCTGGCTAGCGGCGAGTACTGCCACGGCTGGCTGGACGCGCAGGGTGTCTGGCGCGTCGGCTTCCAGTGCCCTGAGCGCTTCGACGGTGGCGACGCCACCATCTGCTGTGGCAGCTGCACGTTGCGCTACTGCTGCTCCAGCGCGGAGGCTCGCCTTGACCAGGGCGGTTGCGACAACGACCGCCAGCAGGGCGCCAGCGAGCCCGGCCGGGCGGACAAAGACGGCTCAGACGGCTCGGCAGGTAGGGCAGGCCCAGGGTGAGCAGGGTGGAAGGTTGGCTGGGCCTGGATGGCACCGACCTGGGGAAAGGAGTAGGCAGGAACCCTGAAGTTTCAGAGGAGTGTCTTGGACCAGGAGGTGGTGCCTGCATTCTGCCCCAGCCATTATTGTGTGCGAATTGAGGCTCGCCGTCCCGGGCCTCAGTTTCCCCACCTGTCAGCTGAAGAATGGTTTGGCTTGGATTTCCCCAAAAAACCACATGTGTAAGACAGGGTGGGCCACAGACAGCTCCTCAATCTTCCAGCTCAAGGAAGGGCCTTTGGGCCCCCTCCCATGTGTTCTGTCTCCAGAGGTCTGACTTCCACTAAGGGTTAATGTCTCTGGGTAGCGGAAGAAATCGTGGACATAGGCAGGGGCACTTCTGTGAAGGCTCCTCAGAAGGAAGGCAGCTTCTCAGGGCTTCCAGTGGGTGACGCAGTTTACTAGAGGGCTCCACCTCTCCCCATCCAGGCTTGGGCCTCTGGTTTCTGGACAGTTGTTACCATGTTGGACTTGCTAGGTCTGACATCCGAACTATGCCCAATGTAGTTCTTTGTGGCTTTGGTTTTTTTAATTATATTTTCAAATTGCCAAAGCTAGAGTCGGAAAAATAAACAAGTCCGTGCAAGAATTTGATAGATTCCACTCCCTCCACTTTTCCCTACCTCCCGGGAAAAGACAGCCTTTCCCCCCGGGCCCACAACAACAATATACGTGTGTTTGGGAGGGAGGATTCAGGTCGGTGTAGGGGTAGAGGTCAGATGGCCAGCATGTCACGGAGAGGGCATCTCCTCTTTTTTCTGCAGGTTATGTTAGGGACAAGACTGTTTACCAGCACAAGATGCCCAGGCTCTGAGCTACCTGACTTGGCACTGAGTGGCATCTGTTTATAGAACTCCTTACCAGAACTCCTCCTGGTAAGAGGCAGCTCTTATCAGAGCTGGTGCCTTTGTAGTCAAGCATTTTATTAGCAGGCTACTCCTGTTGTTCCATTGCCTTGAATATGAACAGAGAACAGAGTAATTCCAGAAAAGGGGTTATCTTAAAATGCAAGCTCGGCATTGCAGGGTGCATGATGGTGGAATAATGGCTTGAGAAATGAGCCGAAGACAGACTGCTGCTTCCATGTCTCAGCTAAGTTGGGCTCACTGGTGGCCTCTAAAAAGTTAGGCTGGCTGTGCGCTGATCAGTAGGCAGCAGACTTCTCATGACACCGTGTGATGAGCATGGGTGCCTTCTTCACCCTGCTTTGAAGTTCTCTTTTTCCTGAAAATTCTGTTTCTCTCACTTCTCTTTGGCAGTCAACAAGGACGAGATACCTAATTAAGCAGTGCCAAGGGCTTAGAGAAGCACTACAGTCATTGCCCCTGCGTAGTTACTTATGCTTTCAATTAAAAATGCTGGAAAGAGATAGCGATTTTTCCCCAGAATTCATTACGTGGATTTAGGCTGCTTTCAGGTAGTTTTTGCTATAATGTTTGGGAACTTTTAAACTATTATTTACTTACCTCTTGATGGCATATTTAGGACCGGCATCCTAATTCAGACGATGGAGTGTTTTAGCATGGGGGTGGGGAAGCCTGCGTCCACGGCTCTGGTCGCTGCTGCGAGCCTGAAGGTGCCGTGTAACGAGAGCCGGCCGACTGTCAGAGAGCCAGCTGTGCTGTGAACTGTGGCAAGTGTTTCTACCTGCTGAAGGGACCCTGTGTATAAGCCATAGTATCCACTCTGTCCCGCACTGATGATTAAGGAAACCTTTAAATGTCAGCTTTGGTTAAATACTTATAAAGTGTGTTTTACTTATAAGGCATTACTTCTGCATGACTTCATGTGCTAGTATATTCTAAAAACACCGACTCCAGGGGACAGTCCAGGGGCTCCTCAGAGCTGTGGAGCAAGGGCTGGGCTCCTCGCAGAGGCTCCGCCCTGTCCCGCTGAGCAGGCACTGCTGTGCCAAGACCAGCAAGACAGTCCCTGTCCTGATGAGTTTTCCACCCAGTGGTTAAGGACATGCTCAGGAAGACATCAAAAAGTAGGTTCTTGGTAACCTCTGGGGGAATTCTGCAGAAGTGCTCCCAGCCATTCTCCTCCCTGCTTCTCTGCCCCCCTCCGCTGGTGTATCTTATCCAGATTCTGGAAGCCCCGTGCCGCTACCCCTATGGCGCCCACAGAGTTTTAAAGTAAAATGATATAAAATTGGAGTTTGCCACCGATTTTAGTAAAGTTGTTATTTTTATCTTTTAGGGGTTTATTTTCCAGAACAAACTTCACTTGTTAAGTACGGTGCCCATTGCTTGATGCTCTGTGGCCTTTCCCTAGCTCCTCACACAGGATCCCGCATCCGAACTCCAGAGTGACTGTTCCACCTCAGCCCTGCTGGGCCTGCTTGCTGCTTCCCCGCTCACTGCGGGCCTCCCTCCTTCCTGGAACAGATGTCTTGTTGCTCCCAACATTCGTTCTCCCCAGTACCTTGTTCCATGCTGACCTGCTGCCTAGAGTCACTTCCCTGCACACAAGTGCTTCCCTTTTCCTCCATTCACTGCCCCCGGATAGGCCCGGCCCATGCCCCTAACCCTCACCAGACTCAGTGAGGCCAGTGTGTGGAGTTTTTCTTACCCGTCTTTGACCTCTGTGGCTTTCCAAGACTCCTATTGGAAACAGTCATGGCTAGAGTCTGACCTAAGTTTTTGAGTTATTTGCCTCTGGAAATAAAGACTTGCTGCAATAAAATACGGTAAAAGGAGTTTTCAAGAAACGTAAGTAGCCCTGGCTGGCGTAGCTCAGTGGATTGAGCGCGGGCCTGTGAACCAGAGTATCGAGGTTCAATTCCCAGTCAGGGCACATGCCTGGATTGCAGGCCAGTTCCCAGCAGGGGATGCATGAGAAGCAATCAGACATTGATATTTCTCTCCCACTCTTTCTCCTTTCCCTCTCTCAAAAAATAAATAAATAAAATATTTAAAAAAAAGAAATGTAGGTAACTTGCTTTGGGGGAAAAAAGCCTTTTAAGTAATTTCTACTCATATCTGTACAGATCCCACGACTATCTGCCTTAAGTTTGGACAGTTGAGTACTTGTAGGGATTTTAGAAAAGTCTTAAAACATAAAACACATTTTTGGTACATTGGATATTTGCCTCGGTCCGCGCGGTTGGTGAGTCTAGCTGTGAATATGAACAATTTTGCTCTGGGGGGCTGCCCCACCAGGCCTGCGGGGCCCTCACTCCTTTCCTGAGCTCTCAGTAGAGGACAGTGCATATTATGGGCTGCTAGTGAGCATGCAAATCGGCAGAGCCTGCTCAGCGTCACTGCTGCTCATTTGTGATCTCCACAGCCAAGCACCGCCTTTTTAATGCATATTTATAGCGAATCATAACGTTACGCTTTTGTCTTCCAGTCCCCATCTACGTGCCGTTTCTCATCGTTGGGTCCGTGTTTGTCGCCTTCATCATCTTGGGGTCACTCGTGGCCGCCTGTTGCTGCAGATGCCTCCGGCCCAAGCAGGAGCCCCAGCAGAGCCGGGCCCCCGGGGGAAACCGCTTGATGGAGACCATCCCCATGATCCCCAGCGCCAGCACGTCCCGGGGGTCGTCCTCCCGCCAGTCCAGCACAGCTGCCAGCTCCAGCTCCAGCGCCAACTCTGGAGCCCGGGCACCCCCAACGAGGTCACAGACCAACTGTTGCTTGCCCGAGGGGACCATGAACAATGTGTATGTCAACATGCCCACGAATTTCTCTGTGCTGAACTGTCAGCAAGCCACCCAAATTGTACCCCATCAAGGGCAGTACCTGCACCCCCCATATGTGGGGTACACGGTGCAGCACGACTCGGTGCCCATGACTCCTGTGCCGCCTTTCATGGATGGCCTGCAGACGGGCTACAGGCAGATCCAGGCCCCCTTCCCTCACACTAACAGTGAACAGAAGATGTACCCAGCCGTGACCGTGTGACTCAAGGTGCCAGCTGGGTTCCGTGATGAGACCCAGGACAGCAGGGAAGCTGTGCACTGGCAAGGATTCTCAGAGTGGAGGTCTGTCACGGCGGTGGTGTTTGGGGCGCAGTCCTTCCAAGGAGCTTCATTTGGCCCAAACTCTGTGAAAGTGGCTCCCTCCGAATGGGCTTTTTTGGACATGATTCATCCCAGTGCATGACTGAGTTATGGTGGCACAGGGCGTCACCTGGAGATGCCCGTGTTGTTACTGATGGTTGTATGACAAATGCTTGAGCCCTTAAGTGCCCTTGGGGTATGTATGGCTGTCAAAAGAGTTTTGTAAACAGATAGATTAAGGGTTTTTATTATGTTCTTGTTATTATTATTTCTTTTCTGTTTTTTAACTGTACCAGGTCAGAATACCTGTCCCTCCCCTTTTCCCAGGGTAAGTTTTATATAAGCATCCAAGGTTTAGGGGAAGGTGTTGAAAACACTATTATAAAGGAAAACCTGATTCGAACTCTGTGAGATTAGTCACTGATCTCAGTATGTCACAGGCGGTCTAATTTCATTGTAAAAAGATATATATATTGTCTATTTTTGTGCTTTTTGTCTAATTTGTGCTTTTTTTTAAACCTCGTGTAGAGATCTTATTACAAAGTGATTTTTCTACCTTAAAGAGATCCCGAAAGAAATTGCATAGTTACTTAACCAGTGACATTTCAGAACTCCGGGGTTTTAATCTTGAAGTAAGTGGGTGGTGCAGTAACAGAGCCATTCATCCCTTTCTTGATTGTACCATCCAATTTCCCAACTTTACAGTGACATCTGAGAAGTCATTAGGTGTTTTTACTATTGAAATCATAAACTGTCAGCCTGCCACTTCTCCAGGTTACGTGTGGCTTGGCATTTCTTTCTGTCTGGTTTTCAGATCCCCACGGCGGCATCGGACCGAGTACAGGCCATTACTGTTCTTATAACCGGAGATGGGCATTTCTGCCTGGATCTGATCGAACACTTTCTTGTTTTCCCTATACATATCAAAGAAATGCTTTATAAAGGTTGAGGAGAGCTTCTCAGCCATAATCCGAGACTTAGGATGAAATTTAAACCACAAATATAATTTACTTTGCAAATCATAGGCTTTTTATACTCTCGTTATCAAAATGGTTTATTTTTCAGGCAGTAGGGACTATTAAATGAAGAGAAAAGCTCTCCAAAGAGATATTGCCTTTCTCTCTCCGCAAAATCAGTTCTTGTTTTTCTCTCTCTTTTAGCCCTCGGCAAGCACTGGATTCATTTCCCAGTGTTCTGAATGACAAAATTCAAGTGAATTTGTGTATTGTTTACCTGTAAGAAATAAGTTTCAGTGTGTGCAAGTAAATTTCTAACTGCTAGCAAAACCAAGATTTGTATTTAAACCATTATAAGGTTGGTGTTTTACATATTTATGTCAATATCTGTATCTCTCTTATCTACTCTACCTACCACCCATCTATCTACCCATCTATCTATTTGTCATCTGTCTCATGACTGAATAATGTAAAGTCATTGTTGGCAATTGGTATCAACAGGGATAATCAAACTTTTTTAATAACCAAAGGCAGGAGAAAATCATTTTACTTAATAAATATTTTATAGTATGAATTCCTAGGGGAGTTTTTTTTTTTTTAATTTTCATTCTACTTGGTAATCTTAGATGGTCTGTTAATAAACCTGTCCCTACAGTAAAATTGCTCAACATTATAATTATTGCTTTCTAGAACCAAGAGCCTACCTTTAGAAGCAGTTAATATCCGGGAAGTTTATGTGGGTACTCCATGAGTCAGCGACACTGTTTTATGTGTTCCCTGAAAACGCCAGCAACACAAAAGAGACTTCTTTGGGGATCGTATTGTCAGGCTACATTGTCTTTGATGGTGGGGTTCTGGCTTATCTAAGGAAGTAGAATTCCTAGAAGATTGGAGGTGAAAGGGACCTTAGAGATCACCAGCACAGGGATACGTTTTCAATAAGGAGCCAAAGAGTAAACATTTTAGGCTTTGCCGGCCTTTCAGTCTCTAGCGGCTACTCAGTTCAGGGGCTGCCTGCAGAAGCTGCTATAACCCAACGCGCAGGGCTGGGGTCCCATAAAACCTGACTGATGGACGCTGAAATTTGACTTACATACAGTTTTCACAAGTCACAAAGTATTCTATTTTTATTTTTTATTTGTCATTTCAGAATGTAAAACTCATTCTAAACTCCAGGGCTGTAAAAACAGGCATTAGGCCTGATTTGCCCTCGGGCCATACTTGGCCACTCCCGGATCCGGTTCCTCCTCCCCCCACTCACGGGTCCTCCAGCAGTGTTCTGGACGGCTTCTTTAAAAAAACCCGGATCCGAGGAACCGGATCAGGGAGTGGCCAAGTATGGCCCGAGGGCAAATCAGGCCTACTGCCTGTTTAGAATGAGTTTTACATTCTGAAATGACAAATAAAAAATAAAAATAGAATACTTCGTGACATGTGAAAACTGTATGTAAGTCAAATTTCAGCGTCCATCAGTCAGGTTTTACATAGAACTGTAATGGCATAATCAATAAAATATACATTAAAAATGAAAAAAAAGAAAGTAAAAAAATAAAATAAAAATACAGGGATGGGGGTGCTTACGTAAGAGAGTGCTTGCTTCTCTCCTACAAGATTGTCCAACTTTTCCTCTTTTTCTGTGTGGTAATTAAATATCACGATGAAAGCGAAAATACACTTCAATAAGTGACATGTGTTTTTCACTTAGTCCTACTTGGCCTTTCCAAACATCTAACATCATTGGATAGATCCTCATACCTTTTCAATTTTGGTAAAAACTGGAGTGATTTAGCAGCCAGAGTAAAACATTTCAAATCCCTGGTTTATTTACATCTTCCCCACTGTCATGAAATCAGAACCTATAAGGTATAATGTACACTCAGTAGAAATACTTTAAAATCTTTTGCAAATAAAAAGGAGAACTTACAGGTGGGAAAACAGTTCGCCGCTGCACATTTTCTTCTGTATCTAAAACTTCTGTGCTGGGTCGTGAGAGTTCCGGGGGAATCCTGTATCACTGTGTGTAGGAAATAAAAATGTGTTGTTTTTGAGGAAGAAGAAATTAACCAGCTTTTCATGTCCATGTAAGAGCCTGGAAACACATAGCGCCTATCATTTCCTATGCAGCTGGAAAAGTTAAAATTTAACGATAATATCAACATCCAAAGTGGCGGGAAGACCATTAAGACACCAGCATTTGAATTTAGCATATTTCCTTTGCAAAACTCACCTTCCACTTCTGAATACATTCATAGATGATTGCCAAATGAAATATTTCATCTATGAAATTTACTTTGACCTCATTTTTAAAAAAAGAATCACAAATGTATTTTATGAATTCCGTGGCTGATATTTTCTTGTTTTGTTACCCATTAAGATTGAATGCCTTTGGAAACATTTTCTGAGGAAACCGTGAAGGTTAGAATGAAGTTGGCAAGGAAAGGCAAGGCAGATGTTCGTAAATGAACGAACGCAAGAGAAAAGAGTTTAAATGGCGCTACAGTTGGGATCCGAAAGAGTTTGGAATAAAAGTTCTGTTCAGTTTGACCTGCGACAGTGCTCACACGTAGTCTCTTTTTTCTCAGAGGTCTTGTCTGTTTCCTTCAACTTTACAGTGCTCTTTTGCTCATAGTTTCTGTCTCCCCGCATATATCCTCAGTGGTTCATTAAAGTGGTCTAAATTATGAACACACTTGTTTTTAGTTGCTTAAGCTTCCTAAATGCTAAAAAAGAACATGCTTGTTTCTTTTTCACGGACTTGAGAATGGAAACTTCTCATTCAAGTAGCCTGGTCTTCCTCTAGTCTGCCAGAACGGCATTATTAAGTTGTGTAATGTGTATTTTACTGTCCTGTCCAATGCCGACCTCTGCTCAGGGGATGCACTTGCAGGGAGCTGGTCAGAATCCAGGATGGGCAGACGGAAATCAGACCGACCCTGTTAGTCATTAAGATGCTTAGGCACCTGCCAGCCTGAATGGATTTGCTAAGTTCCTGCTAAGTAAATAATGTATCGACACTAATGGCTTAGTGAACGCTCTAGGACTTAAGAAAAATGTGATTACTTCCCCAATTTTGCTTATTTCCCCTGCCTTTTAAGTAGCAGAAAAATCAAAGTGTCCGAGGAAGCTGAGAAATCTTGAGCGGAGGAGTCTCAACACAGAGTGGGTGGTGGCAGTGGCTTTAAAAGCTCAGGGGAGTTCCTGGGAGCCAGGAGCAGGTCTGGACCTGGCCACCAGGTAAGGCTCACCCTTCGTGCTCCACTTACAGAGTCCGGTTTCTTTTTAACAGGAGAAGTGTAAATATTACAAGGAGGACTAATTCATGCATATAAATGAGAACACCATTTCTTATCATTCACGTTAATCCTCCTTTTCCTCCCCTTGCTTAGATGGTAGTCTCAGGGACATTTCCGTCCTGCTCCAGCTCTCTCTCTCTTATTTTAAGACCCAGAGATCACCATTTTCATTCAGCCCATTCATTCTAAAACTCTCACATAAAAAATTTCTTTGCCTTCTAAATTTGTTGTAAACTTAAACCATGAATTGTGATTGATCCAAGCGCCTTTAAGGGGTTGAGTAAATGAAAATGACAAACATTGTTAGAAATTATGGAATTTCCCCCCAAATTACAGCAACACTCTAGGTAAATGTGTTTTAGTGCATTGATTTGCATTTGCTTTTCTTTACCTTCTGTTCTTCTGGATGGCCTGACTTATTAGTGACAAATGGAAAACTAAAACCCTGGGCAGTTACTCCTGTCCAAGATGTTAGGTATTTTTTAATATTAATTATAATTTCACAGCACCATGACAGAATCACTGTGAGACACAATTCAAAGCGTTACGTAGAGAGTTGGCTGAGAAGGTCATTTTGCTTTTCACACTTAAGTTTTCAGAACACTTTCAACATACTTAAAATGGAAGGGCCTTGACTTAAATCAAGAACAAGAAATTTAAAATTAATGCTTTTAAAACAACTTTTTAAATGAGAGACAATGAAAGGGGTAAAGAGTTTATGATGGCAGCCTTAAGACTGATTTTAAGCATAAAACTTGTATCTTTAAAAACAACTTTTAAATTGTTGTTCAGTTACAGTTGTCTCCATTTTCCCCCTTCGTCCCCACTCCCTGCCCCACCCATCTCGGCCTCCCACCCTCAAACCTGCCCCCGTTGGCTTTGTCCACGAGTCCTTTATTCAGGCTCCTTGATGACCTTGCCCCTATTTTCCCGTTACCCCTTCCTGGATGCCCTCTGGTTACTGTCAGTTTGTTCTTTATTTCCACGTCTCTGGTTTTATTTTGCTTGCTTGTTAGTTTTGTTAATTAGGTTCTGCTTATAGGTGAGATCACAAAACTTCCATCTTAATTTTGACTGTCTTGAAGCGTAGGTCTTTCCATTTAGAAAAATCATACGTTACATGAGACATTATTTACTCAGCAAATATAACAGCTATAGAAGACAGATCGCCATCTGCAATGTGTATATAAATCACGACATGTGTGTAGACATATATGTGCAGAATGATCACAGGAGAATTTGAAACAGAAATAACTTACTACATGAGGCTACCTCACTCAAGACCGTCTTCTCCATTGTTGACTGATTTTTAAAAAAACTGGAGTTTGTTTGCAGGGCTCAGCTTTCCTTGTCTCATTGTAATTGGTTCTATCGGAGATCCTTGGAAGCTGGATGCACTTGGGTTAGAACCCATTTTCACCACTGAAGGCATGGCGTTCATCATACTTTCATGTCTCTAGTGAGCCTCAGCCTGCTCTCTGTCAAAGGGTTGGGGTGGGGACAAAGGATATGACATAGCACAGAGCTAGGGGTGTCCAATAGGTTTTTATAACACACATATAATTTAACTTTTCAGATATTTTTAACCTGTCCAATATAGAGAAATACATAAAGTATACTGACAAAATATGTCAGATATATATAGCTCCTCATGTCAGAACTAGCTTAGGAGACTTTCCTTATTTTTGTGTCCATAACTACCATATTTTGCCATGTATAATGTACATCCACATTTTTGGCCCAAAATTTCAGGAAAAGAATCTTTTCATTTTAATTTTTTAAATCAATTTTTTAATTTATATGTAAAATCAATTATTGTATTCCAGTGTATTATTTTGCCTATGGATATTGTTATTGCTTTCTAGAGTTATATTTATAATGCATAAGCATAAATAAAATAATTTAAAACACATATATTGATATGAAATTAGTACTACCATGTATAATATGCATCCTTATTTTTCCATCGAAAATTTAGGGAAAAAGTGCACATTATACACTGTCAAATATTGTAACCGGTTTTACCTGGGGTGGCTTAAATCTCTTGTGTTTTAGGTTTGTTCAAGAGACATGCACAGAAATGGCTTTTTCTGACCCTGGAATCAATACCACTCTTTGTAAAGCCCTAAGTAGCCTGTCTTGTTTTCTGTACTGTTGCTTTGGAAAGTCACAGGATTCTCTCCTCCTTGTATCTCTACTAGGTTTGGCTATTCCTACTGAACCTTCCTAGTCTGCTGC